TGCCGCGTCGTGGAGCCTGGTGTGCTGGGATGGAGCCGGAGCAGTTCCCAGGTCCTGAGGGCGGGCAGGAGCCTCCCCTGCCGTTGTGAGGATGGGAAGCGATAAGAGTGAAGGGCTCAGCTCAGAGGCTGGTGTCAGAGGACCCGAGAGCCAGCCGCCACTGTTCTGATGTTTTGTTGTCGTCTGCCATGATGCTGATAGGGGGGTCGCAGTGGGGCTGGGCCTTGCCTGACAGAATTTGGGAGGAAGGAGAAGGGAGATGTGCCTTGTTCTAGCTGCCCGTGCAGCCAGGGCCTACCTGGAGGGGCTATAAGACTAAGGGGAGGGAGGGGTCGAGGGAAGCTGGTGTCCCCACCTGGCTTCTCTGAGCACTGGGATGAGAGTCTGGCAGGGGGCTGGGGGGGAAATGAGAGGTGGTTCTTCAGTCCCAGCCCTACCCAGCCCTGTCTGGTGACATCGAGAATCTAGAAGAAGACATAGCCACCCTCAGGGCACAGGCTCTGCTCCCTGGAGTACAGTCTCCTCCAGAGCTTGGAACTTGATGTCTGCCAGAAAGAGCCAAAGCTGGGTCCATCTCTGTATTGACCTCACCTGCAGCAGCTGTAGAGACAAAGCCAAGCCTAACAGCTCTCTGAGAAAGTGTCTGTGACGGCTCTCTCTGCTGCCTTCAGGATATTCCAGACTCCCACAGCCTCTCGGATCCAGCATACCAGCCACCAGTCCCCATACACTTCCCCTTGTCCCCAGCTATTTTGTCCATTTACCCACCTCAGTGCCTTTGCATGTGCTGTGATGGCTGCCTGGGCTCCGTTTGTTTCCTCCCTTACTCAGCCTGCAGGACCCAGGCTGAGATCGTTAGTGTTTCTGGGTGCCCAGGAGGGTGATCATGGCATCAAGCGTGTTTAACAGTCAAGGGCGTGGGCCAGGGCATTGCCTAATTCTAGTTTTCTGCCCAGCTGTCTCCCTCTGCCCCTGCCTTAGGAAGTGGGTCTGCATGTTCCTTTCTGGCCTCTATGGAAGTCAACCCCGCAGCTCTCTCTACGGAACATGCCCACACCTTTCCCCACCCCCTTGTCTCCCCAGTCTCCCTATCCTCTGGAGCACATGGAACCTCTCCTCCCTCTTTTGTCCCTCAAGGTGTGCATTCTCTCCTAAGCTCCAAGGGCCCTTCTTTTGCTGTAACTTGTTTCTTGAGCTCATTTCTTCTATGGCTCATTTCTACCTCCGTGACTTTCTAAATAAACTATCTCTTATTTAAAAGAAGAAGAAGGAGGAGGGGGAGGGGGAGGAGGAGGAGGAAGAAGAGGGGGAATCAGCCACACAGGAAGTGCTATGCATGGCTGGAAGCCGGTGAGGCCTTCCTGGGAATCCTCCAGCCCCTTCCTCGGGAGACCCTGGAGTTGCCACCATGCAGCAGAGGAGCAGCATGACAGGACATTGTAGGAGGCCCAGGTGCCTCCTGCATGGCCAGAAAGGCCCTCGGGGGTCCAGCCCTGCCCCTGCCCCCACCTGTATTTCTGCTACTCCCTAGTCACCCTATCATCAGTCAGTATCCTTTACCACCTCCCCACACCCTGCACCTACCAGGCTGTTTCTGTGTCCTGGTCTATGCAGTGTGCTCCCTACTCTAGAATACCATTTCTTCCCTTGGCCTCTTGGTGGACTCCTATTCATCCTCCAAAACCCTCGCCAGGGGTTGCCTCCACTGGGAAGCCTTCACTGATTCTCCTCAACAGGCCCTATCCACCTCCCACTCCTCCCTCCCACTGCCTCACTTGATATCCTGCCACTTTTGCCCTCCATGGTAACTTTTTTATGCAACTGTTCCCCACCCTCATGATGAGCAACCTGGAGACAGAGACTATTCCTTTAATTTATCTCTTCATCACCAAAGCCAAGCAGGGGGTCTGACATGTGGGAGGGGTTCCAATGCATGTTTGCTGAACAGAGCGAATCTCCAGTGTTGGACACTGGACCCACAAAGGGCCTCCAGTCCCTCTGGATCCATTATTGTCAATGGCCTGGTGCCATTTTCTCTGGCTGTTTCACTGTTTTTGTTGTTGTTGTTGTTGTTTAAGATTTTATTTATTTACTTTAGAGAGAGGAGAGGGGAAGGAGAGAGAGAGGGAGAGAAGCATCAGTGTGTGAGAGATACATGATCAGTTGCCTCTCGCATGCCCCCAGCTGGGGACCTGGCCTGCAACCCAAGCATGTGCCCTGACTGAGAACCGAACCAGCAACCTTTCAGTTCACAGTCCAGAGCTCAATCCACTGAGCCATACCAGCCAAGGCAACTTTCTGTTATTATTAACTAATATGCCAGTTAATCCTCACAAAACAGCGTATTAGTATCCTAGGGCTTCTAAGACAGTATTCTGTTCCTTCCTCGTGCACTTCTCCTACCTGCCAGCCTCTCTTAAAAGCCCTCTGCACACTCGGGCTCACACTTCTGGGCACACACCTATTTCCCCACATGTACTAGCACTGGCTTCTGTAAAGGGAGAGGGGTGAGCAGGGGCTGCCAGCGGGCATGTCCCTTCCCTACCAATGGAGATTAATGTTACTTGAACACCAGTGTGACAACTCACTCTCCGGCTGTCCCCGCCTCCCCCCACCCCACCCCTAAATACACACACATGCACTCTGGGCCTGAGAGCTATTTCCTCCCTCAGCCTGACTCTGCTGCCTGCTCCTACCCAGTGCCTCTTGTCTAGCTGCTACCAGAAGCTGACAGCCTCCAGGGCTGGAATCCTGTGCTCTGTCCCTCTGTGCCCAGGTAAGAAGGGAGAGGACCAGGGACTGGGCAGCCCCAGTGCCCTCTCTGGACCCGTGAGAGAAGGCACCATTTTACCAGGGGAGAGGGCTCTTAGCAGCTAGGATGGCACAGGGCAGATGGCAGAGGGTTCACCAAAGGCTGCAGGGGACTTGCTGCTCAAAGGAGGGGCCTGCATTGTCTTTAGCGATTGCTAGGATTACACAACAGTCTCAGGGTGACTGACCCAAGTTCATCCAGCCAAGAAGTCAAGGAGCCGGGATTCAGACCCAAGTCTCCTACTCCAAAAGCTTGCATTCTCTGCCCACAGCCCTGCCCCACGACAGGCCCCTCACCGCTGGGCTCCCTCAGGGTCCCGGCAGGCTGGGGGCTGACTCTGTGCAGCCAGAGAACCAGTCGGGATGGGTTCCCAGGGTGCAGTAGGGTCGTGCTCTCTGAGCATCCCCATGGGACTTGGACAGCAGCTGCTGGACTTGAAGAGAGGGCATGGCACTTGTCTGTCTGCTGGCGTGCAGTCCCAGCTCTGCCGCTGCTGCTAAGGAACGCTGGGCAAGTTGCTTCTCCAAAATCAGTTTCCTCTTCTGAAAAATGGGGTCTCCTAGGGTCACTGTGAGTGTAAGTGCTCCGCAAACTCTCAAGCTTAAGGAAGTATGAGCCTTCGCACGGAGCGTGGGACCGATTGCTTCCCACCCACCTGCCTGCAGACCCCCAGCTCCAAAGGGCTTCTCTGCCAGGAATATTCTAGATTGATATCCCGGGACCTCACCTTACAAAAGAACATGGTACCTGCAGAAGGGAATGGATTTTCTAGTCCTGGCCAAAAATGTTTCCCTGGAAAGACAAATACTGAAGACCACCCTCCACCCTCTTTCCTTCTCATCTTCCTCCATCATCTCTTACTTAGAGCAGAGAGAGATGAAAGAAAATGGGCTCAGTGCTAAACTGTTATTCATCAACACGCCTGTATTGTTTGGGTGGCTTTGGGCAAATTATTTAAACCCTTGAGTCTCAGTTTCCTCATCTGCAAAATGGGATGGAAAGAAGTACTGGCATCTTTCTTGTATTGCTGTGAGCAAGAGAGCACCCGTATAAGAAACCTACCACAGTCCTGGCCTGCCGGGCGGGGGCGGGGGAGGGGGCCCGGGACAATCTGAGTTCCTCACCCCTGCTGTCCATCTCCTACTTCCTCAGCCCTCACTTCTCGACCAGTGTCACATCAGAGGGTCTTGGGTTTTTGATGAGGCTGTGGGTGTGCACATCTGGGGCGTCTGCCCATCTGCCAGAGGCTGGCTGCTCCAGCGATTCCCCGAGTAGTTAGTTGCTCAATGAGTATCTGTGCAGTGAGTGCACGGGCGAGTGAGTAAATGAATGAACAGGCTGGATTTCCTGGGGCAGGCACAGCAGCTGCCCTTCCACCCAGGCAGGGGAGAGATCTTTTACTGGGTCTCCAGAAGCCCAATCTTGTAGTTCCTCCTGCTCAGCTCTCTCTGCTCTTATCTTAGTTCCTCTTTGATTATCAGAGGAGGGGCTGGCGCCATTGTTTGCAGTCAACACACCCAATCAGCTACCACTGTGGGAGCAAAGGGCCCCAAGGAGAAACTGCAGAGGGCCAAGGTCTGGGGGTGCTGTGTGTGTGCAGGGGGAGGGGGGGAAGACAACATCCATTAACATCATAGACCCCTTCCATCTGCCAGGCCAGCTGAACCCACCTGCCCTTTAGGTGAGGCCTCAGTCATGCTTCAGCTCCCCAGGGACTGGGCAAAGGAGTCAGACCTTCATGGCCTGCGTTCTTATTTCTCCATGTGATCTTAGGCTGTCTGCTTAACAATAATCACAATCACAATGATGTAGTATTACTGTGTGCCAGGTTCTGTTCTAAATACATACACACACACACACACACACACACACATATGTATTTATATATTCATATATATATATTCATTCAATTTTCCCAATAACCCTCTGAGTTAGGCCATGTTATGACTGACGTCCATGTTGCAGAGAAGGAAGTTGACTCAGGAAGGTTAAATGGCTTGCTCCAGGTTACAGAGGTAGCAAGTAGGGGAGCTGAGATGTAATCTCCCCCACCTTATTGCCTTTGCTCACCTTCACTGATCCCCGGGGACCTCATCAATAACATTCATGGGTCAGACTCCCATGTCCTGGCCCAGGTCCCCGGGGCCCCTGCACTGCCCACCTCAGTGCCCCCTTCTCTCTGTCGCAGCACACGCCATGTGGGCCAACGACACAACAAAGCCCCTGTGCCCCATCCTGGAGGAGATGACCCGCCTCCAAAGGCACAGCAACTCCAGCATCCGCTACATCGACCACGCCTCGGTGGTGCTGCACGGGCTGGCCTCCGGGCTGGGCCTGATGGAGAATGGACTCATCCTCTTCCTGGTGGGCTGCCGCATGCGGCAGACGGTGATCACCACCTGGGTGCTGCACCTGGCGCTGTCCGACCTGCTGGCTACCGCCTCTCTGCCCTTCTTCACCTACTTCCTGGCTGTGGGCCACTCCTGGGAGCTGGGCACCACCTTCTGCAAGCTGCATTCCTCCATCTTCTTCCTCAACATGTTCGCCAGCGGCTTCCTGCTCAGTGCGATCAGTCTGGACCGCTGCCTGCAGGTGGTGCGGCCAGTGTGGGCGCAGAACCACCGCACGGTGGGAGCGGCCCACAAGGTCTGCCTGGTGCTCTGGGCCCTGGCCGTGCTCAACACCGTGCCCTACTTCGTGTTCCGGGACACCATTGAGCGGAAGGATGGGCGCATCATGTGCTACTATAACCTGCTGCTCCTCAACCCCGGGCCCGACCCCAACGCTACGTGCAACTCGCGTGGGTTGGCCCTGGCCGTCAGCAAGTTCTTGCTGGCTTTCTTGGTGCCACTGGTCATCATCGCCTGCAGCCACGCAGCCGTGAGTGCCCGGCTGCGCCAACGCGGCCGCCGGAGGTCTGGGCGTTTCGTTCGCCTGGTGACCGCTGTGGTGGCGGCCTTCGCGTTCTGCTGGGGGCCCTACCACGTCTTCAGCCTGCTGGAGGCGCGCGCGCACAACGACAAAGCACTGCGGCCGCTCGTGTGGCGCGGGCTGCCCTTCGTCACCAGCCTGGCCTTCATCAACAGTGTGATCAACCCGCTGCTCTACGTGTTCGCCTGCCCTGACATGCTGAACAAGCTGCGGCGCTCGCTGCGCAGCGTGCTGGAGAGCGTGCTGGTGGACGAGACCGACCTCAACACCGGCAGCAGCCGCCGGCGCCGCGCCTCCTCCACCCCCGCCCCGGTCCCTGCCTCCCGCCTGTCCAGGCCGCAGCGCCTGCTGGAGTGGCTGTGCGGTGGCCTTGCTGAACCATCGCAGAAGGGCCGGGCCGGATCCCTGGAGGAGAAGGGCCCCCTGAGGCAGGCGACAGGCACCACATGTGGTTAGAGACACCGCGGCCACGTGGCCATACTCGCCGGAAAGCAAAGGCAAGGCAACAATCCAGTGCAAAAGCATCCTGGAGGAGCCATCGTTAAAAATGTAGATATGTCCTACTCTGGCTGGTGTGGCTCAGTGGCTTGAGTGCCAGCCTGCCATCAGAAGGGTCGCTGGTTCAATTCCAGGTGGAGGAACATGTCTGGGTTGTGGGCCAGGTCCGCAGTTATGGATGTTAAGCAGCCAGTCGATGCTTCTCTCCCTCGGTTGATGCTTCCCTCTCTTACTCCCTCCCCTCTCCTCTCTCTAGAAATGAGGGAAAAAAATGTAGATATCCCAGCCTGAGGAGCTTAGCCCGAAGGGCGGGACCTGGGAACCTGCATTTTAAAGTGTCCCACATGACTCAGTGAAATCTTTTCAGAAACAGAGTCTTTGCCAACTCTACTGCACACAGGTCACCTAGGGATCCAGCGCGGCGGGGTGCTGAGATGCTGCATTTCTAACAAGCCCCCAGGCTGTGATGTCGGTGCTGTTGGGCCACGGACCACTCCTGGGGTACCATGAGATTAAGGTCATTAAGGCTTCTCAGACTAGGGTTGTGGGCTCCCCAAGGCATACAGGATGCATCTCCCCGGAGCTCAACTTCACCAGATGCCTGGGGGAAGGAGTGGTATTTTTACATTACACCAGTGATGCATTTTTGGAATGGAAAAGTGAGAAAGGTTTGGGAAACACTGTTCCCATCTAACCTCTTCACTTGAGCCATTTAGCCAGTATTTATTGGGCTGGATGCTTTATCCCACATGCTTCCGGGGTAGGCTCTATTAGCCCCAGTTCTTACAGGTGTGCACACGGAGGTGCACGGTCAGGGAACGTGCCCAAAGTACAGGGTCTACATGCTGACCACCAAGCATTACTTGTTCAACTACTATTTAGTAGGTGAAAAAACCTCCGGACATATCCCAGGTAATAAGATAGTAACTGTGCTGGAGCCTCCATCTCTACCCTCTGGCCCAGCATTGTCCAAAGTGTTTACAAGGTGGAAAAAGCAGAGGTGTGCCAAGGTCAAATGTTTGGGAAACCTGGGCTACTCATAGTGCAGTGGGCATGTTTACTGATGGTCTTCTCAGTCTTCAGTATTTCAGTGTGCACAGCAGCTGCCGAGATCCCAGCACACGACATTCCCTAGCTAGCGTGGCACCTCCGGGTGCCTGAGTTCTATGGTGTGCTGTGGGGGCAACACTGGTCATCCCAAGGTTTTGGTGGCACCCACCCTGGGACCACGCAGGGGCTGGGTAGCTATCACGCCCACCTACAGATGTGAAGGGTTACTTGTACGTCTCCCATAGCACACCCAAAGCACGACGTCCATCTCCTCTGCCTGCCATGGACATGGGGGTCGGACTGCCGCATTCGGCTCGGCATCCCAGGGCCTGGCATGGAGCTGGTGCCAGTAAATGTTTGGTAGATGAAACATTCGTGGAAGAGCCAGGATGAGAAACTCTCTTGGGACCTTGGGCCAGTGCCCCTTGAACCAACCTCAGGCTGGGCAGGCTAGCTCACTGCTCACTCCCAGCACCAGGTAGGGCTGGCCCACTGCAAGGGCCATAAAACTGAACAGCAGGTGTACAGCTGGCAAAGCAAACGCCCCATCATAGCACCTTGTTCCGGTTCCCTCCCACCCCTCCCCCGCTTTACTCATAGCATTTTCGCCGTCTGACACACAATAAACTTCACTTTGTTTATTATGTTTTCTCCATGTCAGAATGAACACTCCTCAAGGGCAGGGACTTTTGCCTGTATTCCCTGGTACTTATATCTATGCCTGTACACAGCATGTGTTCAATAAATATTTTTGTTGTGGACTGGATGGGCATGAGTCCATTAGATCTTTGAGGCTTCTGCAGAGGGGGCTCGAGAGGAATGCTGCTCCCTGCGACCTCTCACATTCACCTTTCAGTGTTGAAAGTGGGTGGAGCTAGATTCAGGGGTCGGGGGCACAGTCGGTAGGGTGCAGAGGTACCCGAAGCAGCCTTTGGGACAGAGCCAGGACCTTGAGACAGAACATACCTTTTGGTCACTAGCTCCCTGAGAAACTGGAAGAATGTACTCTCCTTGGTTTGAAGGCACTTGGAGAAAGGAAGAAAGGAGGGAGCAGAACCTCCTCCGCCCCAGCCCGATCCCTGCCAGGTCCCAGGCTTCCTCTGGTCCTTTGTCTCACAAAGACCTGCCTAAGAGCCCCAAAGGCTCAGGACCCCATCTGGAGTGGGGCCCCTGTTTCGGAGCCAGAGTTGGAGTGCTGGGTCCAGCGCAGGTGCGTGACCAGTGGCTTGCAAGGCGCCGTGTCTGACGTGGTTGGCTCCAGGAGGCCTCTGTGCTGGCCTGCGCTCAGACCTTGGCCACTGGCCGCTGGGGCGGCTGCTTCTGCAGCAGGGCCAGGGTGTCCCGCTTCTTGATGGAGCGCAGCTGCTTCTTCTTCGCCCGCTTGAGCTTGGCGGGGTTTCGGATCTGGGGGAAGTGTGAGGGGAGGGCAATGATGTGGCTGGAGTCTCCGCCCTGTTCCCCAGGGAAAGGGAGGCCTGGCATCCCAGCAGGGGAGCGGGGGCAAGAGGCAGGGGTGCGGAGGCATCCGGGATGCAACACTCAGACCCCCGGGCAGGGCAACACTCACCACTTGGACTATCTCTGCCTTGCGCTCATTCTCCAGGCGGCGTTTCAGGTTCTCGGCTCGTCGCTGTTTCTTCTCCTGGGATGCACAGGGGAAGGGGGTTTGGGTGTGGGAGCTGAGGCAGCTCTGGTCTCTCAGGCCCCAAAGGAGTAAGAGCTGGTAGAATTCCCAGGGAGGAGGGGAAGGGCCCTCTTATCTTGGGCCCTGGCCGTATGTGGGTGCAGGGCCAGGAAGGAGCAATCCCTGAGCCCAAGGACCAGAGGACTACCACGGTGGGAAGGCAACGACTGCGCCTGAGAAGGTGGGCATCTGGACCAGCCACTGAGGACAGGGGCTTAGACAGGGCTGAGGGCACTTAGACATGGGTGGCTCACCACTTGGAAACCCAGGCACATGTAGACAGTAACCCTGGAACCACTCCCCTCTTGCACTGCCAGGGAGAAGGGGTGGGCTGGTTCCCTCATTTCTACCATCTCTGCCCCTGAAGTCCATGTGCCCAGATTAGGGGCTGGGAAGGGCAGAGGCTGCAGAGAAGAGGCTCCAGTTCGAATCCCGACTCTGCTACTTCTTAAACAGGTGATCTTGGCCAAGTTGTTTAATATCTCTGTGCTTCAACTGCACACCCCCCCACCCCGCCGCCCGATCTTTAAAATGAGAATGATCCCACAAGCTTGTTTTGAGGAGTAAATGAATGAATACATGTAGTGGGCTTGGAATGTTACCCGGCCCGCCACAAACACTTAGAAGATGAATCTAGAGGGAGACTGTCTTGGGAATGGAAGGCCCAGTGATTTGTCAGCTTTGCTGACTGGAGCCCCTGGTGGGGCCAGGCTGGGGTGTGGGCTTCGAGGCTGCTGCACAAACAGGGGCTGGTCCACGTTTTGGTAACTCAGCGGGGCAGGGGTGGCCTGGGCCCCCTGGGGAAAATGAGAAGTGAGACTTGCGTCCCGGTCAGAAGGCCCGGGCTGGCGGCTGGGCAGGTGAACCTCTGAAGACAACAGTGAGAAGGCTGTCTTGGCCAAGAGGAAGCCAGGGCCATACAGGAAGTAAGATAAGGCCCTAGCATGAGGGCCTAGCAGCAGCCACACCTCCTAGAGGACCTTGGCCACAGGCTGAGCCAGGGCGACTCAAAGCAGAGGACAGATGACCGAGTGACTGGTCCTCCCCTCGGTGACCAGGCTGGGGCAAGCTGTTTGCTTCCTCCTGTGCCCGGGGACTGCTGCCTGAGTGATGTCCTGCTGAGAACCCTGGTCCTGGCGGAGCAGCTGCTGGCCAACGCCAAGGCCTCCCTTTCTCCGTGCACCCTGCTGGGGCTTCCTGAAGACGGACGAGGTTGGGCGCGAGCCTCCAGTGGGCATTTTTGACCGTGGGATGCATATCAGGGAGAAAACTGGAGGAAGGCGCGGGCATCCACTTTGCTGATATGGGGCAGCCACCTCTTGCAGAATGACAGCAACAATACCGGGAATAGGCTTTCCCACTGTAAGCGTTTCCCACCTGAGCAGGGACCCCAGCGCCACCTCACCGAATGTTCCTATCACCAGTGGGCCACTCGGGGGCTTCTTCCCAGGACCCCTCCCTATCCTTGAACCGTGTGCACAGCCCGAGGCTAAACTGCCTATTTCAGTACCCTGTGGTCCCAGACTGTGCTTGTTTCCTGCCAGGCTCCCTGCCTCGCCGGTGCCCTCGGGCTCTGGAAAGGCCCAGCCAGCCTCCCTCTGGGCACCTGTGTGAGCTTTCCCCTCCCCCCGGCCTATTACAGCAGAGCTCAGCCCTTGAGCTCCAGCCTCATCCTGGCCAGCTGGCCCCTCACCTGCCGACGCCTCTCCTTCTCCTCTTCCAGGTGCCGGGCAAAGTCCTTGGCCAGCTTCCGCTCCTGCCGTTCCTTCATCTTCTGCTGCCAGGATGTGCGCAGGGGCTTGTCCTGAACCATTTGGGAGAACCTGGAGCGGGGAGAGAGGACACTCACAGAGTCTGTGGGAGGCACTCGTGCCTTCTCCTCTCAGCTCTGGGCTCTTCCCCCGAACCGAGTCAGAATCGCCTTCCTGCCGGCCTGCATGCCAGGCAGGCGACCCTCCAGGTCTGCCGCAACTCAAGGCGGGAATAGGCTCCGATCACCCCGGCTGCCATTTCTTAAGCCCTGCTTGTGTGTCTCTCAGGTGGGGACTCTTGTTCTCTCCATTTTACGGAGGAGCAAACCAAGGCCCGGAGAGGTTAAATAATTGCCCAAGGTCACCCTGTTCCTGAATCCATCTGTGACCACAGAGCCCAGGCCACTCGGCCAGCGCGGCGGGCCAGGGCACGAGCGCCCCTGCAGATGGGGCGCACTGCCACGGGGCGGCGTGAGCAGCGCGGTTCTCTGCAGCCATTCAGAAGCCCCCTCCCTGGCAGGGAAATGTGAAAATGGAGTGGGCACTGGCGGTTACCGGGGAAAGTCTTAACTTTCTGAAGTGTGGCAGTGACCGAGTCACAAGAGGAGGAAGGAGGTTATCTCTGCGAGAAGGCACAACTACAAGATGGCAGGGTGCAATGACGCACCTGGGGCGTGCTGTAACACTGCCCGGGAAGAAAGAAGAAAGAATAAAACACGCCAAGGAGCAAGACGAAGCTGGACCAGTACCATGTTCAGCACTACTGAAGCTGGTGATGAGAACATACGTTCATTAAACATGCTCTCGCCTTTGCTGGAGGTTTTTCTCCTTGAACTTTTTCTGAAGCCCGTTTGGGTGTCCCATGGGTCTTTTCTCATAGCGGCCTTTTTGCCTCCCCAACCGATTTCCTCATTTCCAGAAGAGCTTCTGTTCCTCCATGACCGTTACGGGGTGCCCTGCACTGTCACAGCAGGTCGGGGTCCTGCCCCAGCCTCTGAACACTCTCCAGGGAGAAGGGTCAGTCCAGCTCTTCTGGGCCACCTTCTCCCCTCTTCTTGCTCCTCAGAAGCCTGGCACACACAGCCTGTACCTGACGCCACACCTGCCCCCCCCCAGGCTGATTCTGTCCCGCTCCCCTCACTGCACCTTCTTCCCCTCCCCGAGGGCCTCCTATGCACGGAAGAATGGGGCTGCCACGTGGCCTCCCTCCCTACACCAAGTGGGGTCTAAGCAATCTGAAAGGACCAGGCTGCGGGGACCTGCACACCCAGGACCGCGGGACACAAGGGTGCATCTTTAGAGCAGCACCGTTGAGTAGAACTTCCTGTAACAGAAATGCTCTGTATTCCTGCTGATCAACAAGGGCTCCCGTAGTCACACTGGCTGTTGAGCGATGAATTGTGCTTGGTGTGACCGGGGACCTAAATTGTTAACTTTATTTCATCTTAGTCAATTTAAATGTGAATAGCCACATGTGGCAGCGGCCAAGGTATGGGGGCAGTGCAGTCGCAGACCATGGGTTTTGCCTGGAGACTGAAGGAAGACAGGCTGGTTCCATGGCCTGAATCCACCACTTACTACCCGTGTGATGCTGGGCAAGGCAGCCTCTCTGAGCCTCAGTACCATCGCATGTTAAATGGAGGAGAGAATCATTCTTCTCCCAAAGTGTGGTGGGAGGGTGAACTGAGACACGGCTGGAGAGGTCCTGAGCACGATGCTCTCTCTGTACATAGTACGTGCTCAGTATACCCCACCCTTCAAAAACGGAGACGGCACATCCAAGGAGCACAGTGCAGAAGGTGGCATTTGGCAAGAGCACAAAAGGTGGAGCCGCAGCCAGGCCTTCCCAGCAGTGACTGCCTCCCTCCACAGCCCTCCTCTGCTGGACCACCTCTCGGAGCAGGCGCTGCCTCCATGGTCTCTGGGCTCACGCGCCACCCACCGAAGCCGCTTCCTCAAAGATCCCAAACATCAATTCGGTGACCTTTTGGCCCTCGCCCACAAGACCTGCCTCCAGCTTCTGAAGGTGTTTTCATTCCACTGTTAACAGCCTTCTTACTGGGTTCTCTGTTTCCACCCCGGACCTCCTATGGCCTGTTCACACTGGGTTTCTCTGCAGAGCTTCAGTTTCCTCATATGTAACATCCTCATGAAATATGAGGATAAACCTGCCGCTTCACAGGGCTGAAGCGCAGATTAAATGCCATGGTGCATGCTGGTCCCTGGCCGATGCTTACTAAAGTAGTTGGCACTGTCCTATATACTCCGTGTTGGTAACACTTTTTTCTATCACAAAGGCAAATAACCTTAACAGATAATAGTGAGTGAGGACAGACCTCACTGCACTTTATTGAGTAACAGCTGGTTTACTTACTTCTGCCTCTCTTACTAGAGAGGGCGGACAAAGGTTGAATGACAACATAAATGAGGAGCCACAGGAGGGTTCCAGACGACCCCGAGGAAGAAGGCAGCACAAAAATAACCACGCTGGCACCCTCCCTGGGGTCCCAGGGCATTTTACATTTTACACATTCTGATTATAATGACCAGTTTGTGTGAGTTCTCACCTACCCAGGGGCTGTCTCCAGGCTGCAGCCCCAATACCACAGGGAACCCCATCCTGCCCGGCTGCGCCCCCCAACTTCACCTCTTCTTGGAGCGGTCCTTCCACACGCGCCCCGACTTGGGCTTTCCCTTCGGGATTACAGGCACCTCCACCTCCTCCTTCAACTTCTTGGCCGCTGGGGCCTGGGCTGAAGATCCTTTTCGCTTCTTTGGCCTCTGGCCGTCTCTCCCCGGCGCTCCTGCTAGGGGTGGCTCGCTCGGCTCGCGCTGACCCGGCGTGGAGTCAGCTGATTGTGGTGTCAGATCCTGCAGCGGCGGCGAGGGCTCTGGGCCCGGCGCTTGCTGACCGGGGTTAGGCTCTGGCGATCCTGGGCCCGGCTGCAGCTGATGTCGGAGGGACCCACGAGCCAGCTCCTCTTTACTGTGGGCCAAGCCCGCCTCTGGTTCTTCTTGGCTCTGGAATAACATCGGTGACTCTCCACTTGGCTTTGACTGACATCGAGCGGATTCAAGACTCGACTCTGGTTGTCTTCGGGGAGACTCCAGGCCTGCATCTCGCTGACCCTGGGGGGATCTCGGGCCCGGATCCCTTCGGGGAGACCCCAGGCTTACCCCCGGCTGTGGACTGGGTGATCCTGGGCACGTCTGCGGCTGACTTTGGGGGGACTCCAGGCCGGGCTGCCTCACAGGCCGAGGAGACCCAGGCTCCCTCGTTTCTTCCGGATTCGATTCGAACTCCACAAGGGCTGGTGTTGCCTGCAAAACTGACGTGGCGCTCTCGGGAGACTTAGGCGTCAGACCTCCCAGCCGCCGGCTGCGCCTCAACGGTGTATCCATGGCCCAGCCGGAAAGTATCCCAAATCCGACCCCACGTGCCGGGATCTCCGGGACAACCGGCGCCGTCCTATGACGTCACGGATGCCACGTTTGTACCGGGCAGGAGAAGCTGTTGCCAGGGCGGCCATGTTAGTTTCAGGCAGAGAGGCGGGGTTGACGGCCCGAGGGGTTCTACGAGGCGCATGCGCAAAGCCTTTTGGCACATTTACCTGTAATTGAGGTCCAGCCTAAGACCTGTGTTTGCTCTTCCTGTAAACCCAGTCTCCCGGGGAGGGGGGGGGGGGGAGAGAGTGCGCAAGCAGAGAAAGGAAGGGAGACTGATTTTCTGGAGAGAAGAGAATTGGGAAAAAGATCCAGGGAGCCTGCAGGGCAAGGCTGGGTGAAAACTTCGCCGCTTACTCCTGTGCAGTTGGGTAGGGGGTCTCATCCTCTGCGGGCCTCAGTTTTCTCATGTGTAATGTGGGTGATTTTGCCCTAGTTCATTGTACCTAAATGAACTCACTTAGAGTGAATGTTACCTGGCAGATCCCGGAGGTGGGCAATCTCCTGTCTTGAGGTGTATGTTAACTGTGCACATCCTTGCCTTCTTTTCTCCCACCCAGTGCTTAAGTATCAAATTTATGGCTCCCTCTTTTCAACATTTTCAACATTTATATGTGAAGCTGAGGTACTGGTAAGATGCACCACCTTTGTCCTGGCACATCTGGGCCCTCAGCCATGCTGCATACCCTCTCAGCTGCTCCTTTTGCCCTGTTCTAGAGACAGGTTGGGTGGCCTCTGAGCTTCCTTTTAGCCAAAACAATGGTCTTTGCTCCAGTGTGTAAACCTGCCTCTTCTCCTTTGCATGAGACCCAGGAAGGGCTTTGAGTCATTCACAGCATGAGAACCAGAGAGAACATCTTGGAAGTTGCCCAACTATATCCAGCTCTTCTCTGAAGTTATTCTTAGAACTGCCTGGGAGTGGTCCTCTGGGATCCCAGTACTCCTGTCACGCCATCCCAGTGGCTTCTTTTAGAAACCATTGCTTCTCCAGTGGACGGGTTGTGAGAGGGCCTGGGAAGTTGTCCAAGGATGCTCAAGGGCCTGAGGAGGAAGGTCAGGACACCCAGGCCTCAGCGCTGAGCACAGCTCCCACCTGCGGAGTCATTCCACAGTATCAGATGGAGCGCAGCCCACCTTGACCGCTGACCAAGGAGGAGGTGAAGAGTTTTCAGACAAAGGCTCCTGGAGAATGAAAAAGTGGATTGAGAGCCATTAACACCTCTTACTCTTTGTCTGGCATCACACAGCATCCACAATGCACCTTGATGAATTCAGTCTGTTGAAATCGCCTCCCTAAGCGTAAAGGGGTGGCATGGCTTCTCCAACGTTCCTCCTTGTGCCCTTGTGCTGCTAGTGCCTGGCTCAGCCTCCTCATGATCCTGGGCCAAGGAAGGCCCTGCTGGGAGGCTTTGCCTCTGTCCCTTGCTCAGTGGTGCAGTTCCCCACTGCAGAAGAATCTCAACCCATTCTTGCCCAGCTCTTCCAGGCCCCAGCTCTCAGTTCCTTAAATTCCTGCCTTGCCTAGAGACCTGAAAGGCAACCGCAAAGAACCACACCCAGCGTGTGCTCAGTACCTTACCGCACTGCCTCTGCCCTGCATCACGTTCCCTCTGCCCCCTGCTTCCTGAGCTCCTGTCCTCAGCTGGAGGGGTGGCTCTCAAATGCCCATGGTGATAAGGGCAAGATGACTTAAGAGGAGCAGCCTAGCCAGAGACCCCTCCCAGGTTAACTGTTAATCATTGCTTATCTGTTCCTGTAGCCCGTTTTCACATCCCTTCCCCCGCCTGGGGTAGCACATCAATCTCCCACCTGAATGCTAATCCCTTCCGCCCATCCGTTTCCCGCCGGAATGCTAGGGCTTATAAACCCCTATCTAACCCCGATTCGGGGCTCAGAATTTGGAGACTGCCTCCTCTGAGCCCGCGCGTGTGAATAAAGGCTTACTCCGTTCCCTGAATCGTGTCTTGAGTCTGGCTTTCCGTAACATTTGGTTCCCTGACCGGGAAACGACTCACACGAGCAGGCCGTTTGCCTCCGGTGAAGACGGCTGGGGTCGGCCGGGTGAGCCCGGACTCCAGAGGGAAGCACGTGCCCCCGTGATTTCGGGTCCCGAGGGGCTGGGCTCCCCTTGGCCCCGACCTCGGGCCGTTCCATAACCTGGGCACTCGGGGAGCAGACCCAAGCCTACCTGAAGGCGCCAGATTGGTAAGTGCCCCAGGGACCAGACCCGAATCAGACCCACCTATAAGTGGTGGAAGGAGAGGCTGATCACCTCTCAGGCCGACCAGCCTCTGGCACGGTTTCCCTGTCGGGAGGGAAAGTGTTAACCTCTGTGTGATTGAGTGAGTGACTGACTGTGTGGCTCCACAGGCCAGCGGTGTTCCCCCGAACCTACGGAGTCTGAGTGAGCCCTAACCTGCGGGTCCTCGGTCTGTCATACGGCATAATGGCTGGGAAGCTAACCTGGACTCTACTCGGGCAGCCTTAGCTAAGACAGACCCAAGTCCCTCGCGAGAGGAGAGGCCAGGCGGGCGAAAGTGAAAGTATCCTTGCTGCCCCCGTTTCTCTGCGCCGTTTCGGGAGGGATCATGGGGGGCAGACAGTCTACCGTCTTAGATTGCATGTTAAGGAATTTCGACCGGTTCTGGGGCCAGCAGCCCGATATGGATCCGGGGCAATTAGAAATTTTCTGTTCCGCTGAGTGGCCCAGGTTCGGGGTAGGCTGGCCTCCTGAAGGAACCCTTGACCTAGACATAATTAGGGCTGTCCATCTCATAGTCACAGGAAGTCCAGGACACCCAAACCAATTCCTCTACATAGAAAAGTGGCAGGAGCTAGCGCAAGAGATGCCCGACTGGCTCCGGAAGGGTGCGAGGGTCAAACCTCGTCACCTAGGCGCTACGGGAGGGCGAGCCAGGGGAGCCCGGAACTGTTGCTCCCGATCAAAGGAAAGGGATGTAACCCGCATCCTAGTTGCCAAATCAGTGGCGAGACCCCCTATCTATCAAGGCCCGCCAGAGGAAGACCCCCCGGTGCAGCCTCCCCCTTACCCAGCTAGGAACTTGGGAGGTCAGGCAGAGGCGCCTGAAACACCGCCCCCTTCAGTCTCGCCCCCGCAGCCCGAGGCAGCAGCGCCCCCAGAATCTCCTATCGCCTCCCGCTTAAGACACCACCAGTCCCTCCAGATGCCACTGCGGGAGACCCAGGGCCTGCCACGAACGGGGCCTGATGGGACCTTATACCCGGGACCGGTCGTGTTTTACTATCAGCCCTTTACCACGACTGACCTCTTGAACTGGAAACACCACACACCCTCATATTCGGAGAAGCCCCAGGCACTCGTAGACCTAATGGAGTCCATTATGCAAACTCACCGGCCAACGTGGCACGATTGCCGCCAATTGCTCCTAACCCTTTTTAATACGGAAGAGAGGCGCAGAGTCTTCCAGGAGGCCCAGAGATATCTAGAAGCCAACGCTCCAGTGGGCACAACAGACCCAGCCCAGTAAGCTCGGGTGGCAGCCCCAGAGACCCAACCCGACTGGGATCACAACACCGAACAGGGAAGAGCAGCCCTGGACCTGTACAGGGAAGCCATCCTCCAGGGGGTCAGAGCTGGGGCCAGAAAACCGACCAATATGTCAAAGGTGGCCAGTGTTGTCCAACGGCCAGATGAATGTCCCGGGGACTTCTTAGAAAGGCTCCTAGAGGCCTACCGGATATACACCCCCTTCAACCCAGAAAGCCCAGATACACGGCTAATGGTAAACACTGCTTTTGTCTCCCAATCGGCCCCTGACATCCGCAAAAAGCTCCAGAAGCTAGAGGGCTTTGCAGGCATGAACATCAGTCAGCTGGTTGAGGTAGCAAATAAAGCCTACAATAACCAGGAGGAGGCCGCTGAGAAGGCAGCCCAGAAAAGATTAGAGAAAAAGGCCGCACTGCTAGCAGCCGCCCTCAGTCAGCCGGCAGCAAAAGGCAAAGGGGGACCAAAAGACCAGAAAGGGCACGCCAAGGTAGAGAGAGACCAATGTGCCTATTGTAAGGAAAGAAGACATTGGAAAAGAGAATGCCCGCACCGGAAAAAGAAGGCTGGTCCGGCGCCCTCTGAGCCGGCGCCCACCATCCTTAGCCTGGTGGGCCTAGACTCAGAATGAGGAAGACCGGGCTCCCTGAATCTAGGCCCCCATGAGCCCATGGTCGAAGCGATTGTTGGGGGCCAGACTCTCTCTTTCTTGGTATATACCGGGGCAGAGCACTCGGTCGTCACCACCCCTGTAGCTCCCCCATCCGGATGAGAAGTCACCATCGTAGGGGCCACTGGTCAGCCAAGTAGCCCAAAACGCTTCTGCCAGGCCCGAATTGTTGATCTGGAAGGCCACCGGATTAGACATGAGTTCTTATACCTACCTGAATGCCCTGTCCCACTGTTAGGGCGAGACCTCTTATCGAAGCTGGGAGCTCGAATCACCTTCCAGCAGTCAGGGGAGGCCTCGCTGCAAGTGGACGGCCCTAGGCTCATGGCCCTCATTTTGCCACGAGAGGAAGAATACCAGTTGTATTCTGGGGAATCTGGTGACCATGGCCCCAGACCTGAGGCTAGAGACAACCTGATGCAGGAATTCCCCACGGTCTGGGCCGAGGACAATCTCCCTGGACTAGCCAGAAACCAGGTCCCAGTAATAATTGAACTCAAACCGGGGGCTAAACCGTGCCGCCAGCGACAGTACCCTATCTCAAGGGAGGCCCGCCTAGGAATATCGGAGGTCATCCGAAAGCACCTCCAAGAGGGTATATTGGTCCCCTGTCAATCAACGTGGAATACCCCGCTCCTGCCAATCAAGAAACCTGAGGGAACAGGGTACCGTCCAGTGCAGGGCCTCCGGGTGGTAAACGAAGCCGTCGTCACACTGCACCCGGTAGTCCCGAACCCATACACCCTACTGAGCCGACTCCTGCCAACCGCCGCCTGGTACACATGCCTAGACTTAAAGGACGCCTTCTTCTGCATCCCGG